AGAGCTTTATCAAGGTATGTTATACAAAAAGTTAATGTATTGTCTCTGGTACATGACAACTATTGAGCACTATAAAAGGGCAGATTTGTTAGTTTGTTAATGTGTGCAGCTTGGTTTAGAGCGATTCCATGGAGTGGCAATACTAGGATTCAATTCAGCAGAATGGTTCTTCTCTGCAGTCGGTGCCATCATGGCAGGGTGAGAATCCTATAGCAACATCAGCACTGGCCTGAATCAGCCTTTATCTGTACCTGAATATACCACAGTTGTCATTGTGCTCTTATTATTATTTCATCTGGTCCTGTTGCAGTAACTTATCTCTCTCTCATGTCTCCATGATGGCCTGTATTCTTCCTACAGGGGGACAATGACAGGAATTTATGCCACAAACTCACCAGAAGCTTGTCAGTATGTGGCCAGTGATGCCAAAGCCAACATTATTGTGGTGGAAAACCAAAAGCAACTGGATAAAATCTTGCAGGTACTGTTTTTTAAAAATAAATTACAGTCTTTATCAACATGCAAAACCCTCTGTGGTAAATGTCTCCCTCTTGATCCCTTAGATACGTGACAGACTGCCCCATTTGAAAGCCATAGTGCAGTACAGTGGACAGCCCCTGCAGACGGTCTCCAATCTTTACTCTGTAAGTTCTCCCGACACAACGTGAAGCAATCAAAGTGGCTGATGAACTCAGGCTGTGATGCTGTATGTTGCTGTTTTGGGGTAGTGGGAGGAGTTCATGGAGCTGGGTCTGGATGTTTCTGAGAAAGAGCTGGATGACATCATCGGCAGCCAGAGAGCCAACCAATGCTGCGTCCTGATCTACACCTCTGGCACCACCGGCAAGCCGAAAGGAGTCATGCTCAGTCATGACAATGTAAGCTTTTGTGTGACCATTCTTTATTTGTAGACATATTCAGAGTCAGAGTCTAAGAATGTTATTATGAGATTATGAGTTGTAACCAGAGGTGGGACAGTCACAGAGAAGTGCCAGGTTGAGACAGGCAGGTCCTGAGTCAAGTTCCAAGTCAAGTAACAAGTCCTAAATTTTGAGTTTCAAGTCATAAACAAGTCAACAAATTCAACAACAAATGGAATGCCAATATTAAGTTTACAAAAATCATAAGTGCTTTTGAAAATTTGCATTTATTTGTTAAAGCTGCTATGTTAAAAAGTTCCTTAGCTAATGTTAGCGTAGCATTAGCTTCCTAACTCTTTTAATAGTAGCCTTGATTTACTGTTCTTTGTGCAACTTAAAATGTTACTTGAAGTGGGAAGTTGTTGCATCTTAGTCTGTAGTTTTTTGACCCACATGTTTTGCATACTGCAATTTTTGTTTTTTTGTTGACCACCGCATAGTTTTTGAGCATGAACGACATTATATTGGAATCATTTTTTCCAGCTGGCGCTCAGTAATGCAACGTTAGTTCTTCATGGTTCTCTCCTTCAAACTTAATGGGATGCTGCCAAACAAAGTGGCTCTGGAGAATTAAGCGTTGACTTGATGTGAATTAAGGAAAATGAACTGATCTCTGGCATCCTTTTTAAACATACTTTCTGACCCTGGTGAAGGTATCAAGTATTTTCAAGTCAAAAGGCTCAAGTCCAAGTGAAGTCACGAGTTTTTGGTGTTAAAGTCCAGGTCGAGTTGCAAGTATTTTTGCTTTCGTCAAGCTGAGATTAAAATCATCATACTTAAATACATAAAAGCAGATAAAACATAAACCAGGCTTCTGTCTCAATCTATGATGAATATTCAGATCACATGGACCGCCAATTACGCCAGCAAGGCCGGGGACGTGCAGCCGGCCGACACTAAACAGGAGTCACTAGTGAGCTACCTGCCTCTCAGCCACATCGCTGCTCAGATCTATGATCTATGGAAGGGCATCCAGTGGGGTGAGCTGGTGTACTTTGCACAGCCAGATGCCTTAAAGGTAATTAAAATGCCTAGATTGCACACATTGGTTTTAACATTAGTATTACCTTTTTTTTAAATTTTAAAGGCCTGACATCGGGCATTTAAACTGAAGCAAGAGATGAGCCGAATAATGGGGTCAATATAAAATGACAACTGACTGGTTAAGTCTGTGTGTTTAAGCTCTTTGTGTGCTTCATTTATTGTAGGGCAGCCTGATAACGACTTTGCGAGAAGTTTGTCCCACATCCCACATGGGTGTCCCGCGAGTGTGGGAGAAAATCATGGAGAAGATAAAACAGGCAATCAGTGAGTGTGGATATGTGAAAAAGAAACTGGTGACATGGGCGATGTCAGTCAGTCTGGATGCCAATCAAAAGTGTACGCAAAAGTAAGTACTGATGACATCCGATTTTTGTGAATAATGCAGGGATTTTAATGACCCACCAAACATAAATGCATTTTCAGAGAGAGAGATGATTAATATATTGATATTTCCTTTTTTCCAGGGATGATGAGAAACCGTTCCTCTTTACCCTGGCTGACAGCCTGGTGCTGCAGAGGCTTCGTGCTGAGCTGGGCCTGTCTTGCTGTGAGAAGTTCTTCTCTGGAGCCGCACCTATCGGTACTGAAACGGTGCAGTTTTTCCTCGGCCTGAATATCCGGTTGTATGAGGCATATGGCATGAGTGAGAGCACAGGACCTCACTTTATGTCAAGTCCCAAAGCTTACAAACTACCAAGGTATAAAAAAAAAAAGTCAAGCATGTAGGAATTTTAAGTACAATTCGTGATGTTCAATGGAACAGTGTGTAAAATTTCAGGGGATATAGTGGTGAGGAATGCAGATTGCAACCAGCTGAAAGGTCTCCTGGTTAGAATTCCTTCAGTGTTTATTGTTCAGGAGGTTTTTACCAGGAGCTGAATTATCTGCTGAGGTCTCTTTCTCTGCAAAACAAACAGACCTGATGATTTAAACTGGTCAAAAGACAGTGTTTTCTGACACTCTCATCAAGGAGGGGCTGCTAAGTATGATAGCCAATGTGAAAATGACAATGACCCTAGCTAGACTGGGTCTTTGGTTTGTCTGTTCATGGCTACTTAGAGACATGGTGGTGCAACATAACATTCTCCGTAGTCGAGGACCCACTCCCTATGTAGATATAAACGGCTCTGAGGCAACGAAAACACAAAGATACTGTTTTTAAGGTAGTTACACACAAAAGAAAGCATACTTATATTCCATCTGTGCCAATATATCCCCCTAAATCTTACCCACTGGACCTTTAAGTGCTCTTTAATGTTGTGAATATAACATAACATGAAGACTTCTTTCCTCTGACAAAGCTGTGGTAAGGTGGTGCCCGGTTGTCGCTACAAAATGTCCAACGTAGACTCCGAGGGCATTGGCGAAATTTGCTTTTGGGGACGCAACATTTTCATGGGTTTCCTCAACATGGAAGACAAAACAAGAGAAGCTTTGGATGAAGACGGATGGCTCCATTCTGGAGACCTGGGGAGGATAGACGAAGAGGGTTTCTTGTTCATCACAGGGCGAATAAAAGGTAGAACAATTGGGCTCTTGAGAGAAAATTGCTTGTCTTATGTCACCACCCCACATTCTGTGCATCACCCACACCTGAGCGCATGGTGTTCTGGACAGAACATTCGGCTCCTCGTTGTGAGTCATGTAATGTCAGTGTGTCCTCCCTCTGTCTCTCCATTCAGAGCTCATCATCACAGCTGGAGGGGAGAATGTCCCCCCTGTTCCCATCGAGGAGGCAGTGAAGAAGGAGGTACCGATCATCAGCAATGCCATGCTCATAGGGGACAAGAGGAAGTTCTTGTCAATGCTTTTAACACTGAAGGTAATGTGCCAGTAGTCATTATCCAGATAATGGAAACTGCTGTTCATTATTCTTGACATTAACCATATCTTATGTAAAGTCACATTATGGAACTGTGTCTTTCCAAATAAGCTATTTGCAGAACTAAATTAACATTTACTTGTACTTTTAATTTAATGTTCTTCTTGTCGAGCTCCCTGGAGAGATTTCCAACAAACCAGGGCGTGTAAAAGAGAAGCAATTAGAATAATTGCTTTTACAAATGACTGCAGTTAGTCTTTTATGTGGAAATATATATGAATCCAGCAATTTAATCCTGTTTAATCGTGTTCCAGTGTTGCAGCGATAAAGAGACTACGGAGCCAACAGAGGAGCTGAGCTCGGAGGCCGTGGAATTTTGCCGACAGCTGGGCAGCCAAGCAACCAAGGTGTCTGACATCACTGAGGGAAAAGACAAAGACGTGCATCAGGCCATTCAAGAGGGAATCAACAGAGTCAACGCTGCGGCCACCTCTAATGCCCAACGCATACAGAAGTGGACGATTCTAGAAAAAGACTTCACTGTTTCCAGAGGAGAGCTGGGTAAATGAATCAGTAAACAATATTATATGCTTAATAAGAACATGTTTTTAATAATGAAAGCAATTTTAAGACTATCTCTCATTATACTGTCTCACTCCAGGTCCCACGATGAAGCTTCGTCGCCCTGTTGTGTTGGAGATGTACCACAAGGTCATAGAGAGCCTCTATCAGCAGTAGCGTCATGTTCCCGGAGGAATGACTGTGTCACTCTTAGTATGAAGATCACGTGTCACTTGCACATCTCATCATTCTTGTTGACGCACATGGAATTTAATTATATCTGTGTCTCGTGTCAGAGTGCATAAATAATACAGGAACCATATTTAATTTTATATATTTAAGAGGAAAACAAGATTAAGTTTTAAATAGTGAATAATATTGAGAAAGCCACCATTTTGATGCATCATCTCATCGACTTAAATATTTGTTTTAATTCATATTTGTCTCCAGTCAACAAGTTATTTTCACTGCTATGAAATCATACCAACATCTTACCCAGTATTTTGTGTAAATGTTTCATGTGGTTTAAACCTATCTGGATAACACGGACATAACTACCCAGGATTCTAATCACAGGGGGTCATCACCATAGCATCTGAGGAGCTTATGACACCTGCAGGTCATTTGCATAACACTGAATAAAAAGTCTGGCATTTCTGATGTCATTGCAATATTTATTTTTCTTCATACATTCATGATATTTGCAGCAAGAAAACACAGTATGACATGGCAGAAAGAGTGCAAAACATCTGCAAGATTCATGACACAGAAGCCTGATGATGTTTAAATCATGAAAGCTTCAATCCGTATTTTTTTCACAATATGAATGTGAAATATATCCACAGTGTAACTGAAGAGTTTGACTTGTTGACGAACGTTTCGAGTGTTTGATCATGGAGGTTACGGATTGCATCTTTTATGTCAAAATAACAGCGTCAATCACATTAGACGAGAGGCCAAATTCAGCCAATAAATAGACAATATTCACCACAGATTAAACAGTTTAAGAATAAAATACTTATCACTTATACAGTAACTGTGCATTGTATGTTTTAAGACAGTGCTTTGGAGTGTGCAGAGGGCATAATAAAATGTTCAGGATCTCTACGGGCCTGTGTCCACATAGTGTTTTTTTCTGAGTGCCAGTGTCTTTTTAAAAATTGTTACCAATGGAGAAGAAGCACTGCAGTCAGCATCTTTTTCAGAGTGCTCCGGGTTTTTTGTGCGGCTCTCTTGAGCACTTGTGGTTGAAAGTCACAGGAACTTTTCAGAAAGGCGCTGGTGTTGTCACAGCTGCTTCTTTAGCTACTGTCTATATCGAGCTATATGTCAGTGAGATGCTATTACAACAGAGACAGAAAAGCCCAACTGTAGGAGCAGATTGGACAAACACTGAACGTTGCTGGTGAGTGTGCTTTTATCACCGTACATGTTGCAAGCTTGTTGTTAATTGTGTAGTCAACTGTCTGTTCAAATAGCATTACGTAAACTGCCTTGGTAATGTAAATGTCAAGATACTGTTGTCATAGAAACAGACCACATACGCACTGGGAGCTTGCATTTTGTAAAGTGCTCCCCAGCGCCCTGCCACTGCTTTTCTGTCAAACAAAAACACTATGTGGACACACCATAACTCCTGAGTCCTTCTTTTTAAAAATACATGCTATGGTTTAAAATGTGCCGATACAGCATCATATAATGAAGTAAAGAGACCCTAATGATTAACTTGTCTCATTAGCATCATTTCAGTCCAGCTCCTGCACTCGTTGACATATCGCTGCTGTGAATTCGGAGCACTTTGAGTTTCCTCCCAGGTCTTTTGTTAGAACCTTGAAGATGGAAGATTAAATCATTATAAATCAGAATGGGAGCACACAACCAAAACTGCATGTCTTCATTTCTTTAAAAAAATTACCTTTTTGTCTCGAATGATGTCAAAGCAGGCAGTTTCAATCTTCTTGGCGTGGCCGTGCAGGCCCATGTGCCGCAGCATCATCACTGCACTGAGCAGCAAGGCTGTGGGATTGGCCATATCTTTTCCTGCTATATCAGGGGCAGTTCCATGAACCTGACAGAAGGAAAGACATCACAATCATGCCTGGCAACAACCATATTGAGGTCAAACGTTGATGTGCCTTCACTAACTCATCCCACACTGGTAACTTCTACTATGGAACATGTACTTTGATCATGGGAGTAATTGTGAAACATATCAAGAAAAAATGAGTCTAACAGATGGAAACAAAAAAAACAAAAAAACATACCGACTCAAATATGGCAACACCATTGGCGCCGATGTTTCCACTAGGAGTCACTCCAAGACCTCCGATCAGTCCAGCACAAAGATCACTGTCATGGTGAACACATACAGTTACCTCCAGATTTATTCTTCTACATTCACACTGATCTAGCTAATTAGATTTCATCTATATATTAGGCACATCATTTACAACAATGCAGACAAGGTCAGTGCAGTCATTTGTTAATGCACATCCTTGCAGAAAGAAACTGCAGTCACAGATAAGATTTCAGTCAGTTTTGTTTGATTGATGTTAAATTATTATGTCAGGTTAGGTAAATAACCTAAGTTTAAGTTTTTGTATACTTCTGGATGAATCCACACAGTCGACACTACCTTCTTGGTTCCAACTCATTTCTACATATGCTTTAAAACAAAATTACACCATTTACAACATATCTGCCATGGTTGCTGTATGTGCTGTATGATCAATTAATTATGTGCTTTTTTAAAGAAGCACAAAAACAACAGAGAAAATGCCATCTATCTTATCTCTTGTTAATATAACATGTTCACTATTTAAGAGTTTTACTTACCTTAAGATGTCTCCATACAAATTTGGCATCACTAGTACATCAAACTGTGTGGGATCCTGTACCATCTATAAGAACATGTATAAACAATGCCAACATTAATTAGGAATGTTAAATGAACAACACTTTTTAAAAAAACATTGCTTTATATCCATGTAAAATATTATACATCGCTATTTGGGACTTACATTAAGGCACACAGTATCCAAGTACATCTCAGTGAATTTCACGTCTCTGTGCTTTTCGGCTGCCTCTCTGCATTTTCGTAGGAAAAGCCCATCAGACATGCGCCTATAAAAAAAAAAACATTAACAGAGAGTAATCATTTAATTTCAACAAACAGCTTTACAATGATAAATGACTTATTGCAATTTGTACTGAATACAACTTACATAATATTGGCCTTATGAACAGCAGTAACACTGGCCCTCTGATTATTTCTGGCGTATTCAAAAGCATACTCAGCGATGCGTTGGCTGGCTTGCTCTGTAATGAGCTTAATACTCTGCACAACTCCATCAACAATCTGAAAATATACAAATCCAATAAAGATTCATGTAAAATCTGCAAACTATAAATAGTGTTTGAGTGGTTTTAAAAAACAAAATGCTAACAGTTCTAAATATCAAAAGGTGTCTACACTGGAGAACCAAAAAGGGATAATGAGATACAGGGGGCTATCTCACACCCAGCACAAAGCAGCACACAGCGTAGTGCAGCTGTCATTGCTAATTTCAGACCAAAACAGTTGTCATTTTCACAGCCAGCGCTTGCGCTGTGTTACTTGCGTCCATCTGTGCACCCATAAGTAGGTCTAACAATGAGGTGTGGTCAGGCAGATTGTTAGTGCATTGCTGTTTTCAGGCAGCAGAAAGATGAGTCTGATTGTTTGAATTCATGTTAAGTTCTGATTAATTAAGGGACTAAAGACAACCCCTTGCACCTGACTTTGGTAGGTGCCGTTTGACTAACAAAACTGAAGCTGGACACGCCATAAATGCATTTGCACCATGCACTATAAATAATTTAAACAGGGACCATTGATCAAGAAAATTACAAAACTGAAACAGGCCTACATTTTGACACAAGCTGAAATAATAAAAAGGTCAAAGGAGGAAATCTGTTAACATTAAAAGGTAATGACTAAATAAATAATGTGTTGTTAAAGGGTCTTACCACATGCTCAATCCCACTGTATTCTCCCTCAGTGTTCTCCCTGATAGTGACCAGGTTCACATCAGTGTAGGGGGTCTTGTAGCCCTCAATGGACACACAGGGGCGCACATTGGCATACAGGTCAAAGGTTTTCCTTAGGAGCAGATTCATAGATGGATGGCCAGCAGCTATTGGTGTCTTCAAAGGGCCTGTAGATTGAAAATAAATCAAAATAATTCTCTTCACCTGCCATGTTTGTAAGAAACCGTAATGTATCAGTCACTTATTTGTACAAACCTCTTTCTAACACAAATGATAATTATCTTATTGGTTTTGTAGTTTCTTTAAGTGATTAAAAGTGTATTAAACAGGTTACCTTTTAGGCCAATTTTGTTCCTGTCCATTGATTCTTTGGCATCAGGAGGGATCATCCACTTGCCTCCAGGTCCTTGGATGGCTGTAACATTCCTCTCTTCCCATTGTATAGGTGCCTAGATTAAAAGCGTATGTACAGCAAAATCACTACATTAATTTACATTACACAGATTTTTTAAGACTGTGTCTGATACAAATAGTGTTATCTTAATTAGGTGGTTAATGTTCCTGGTGAACTATGTTTTGTTCTGCTCCTCCAGTACTAACTTTAGCTGCTTCAAATATCTTCATGACAGCAGAGGAGATCTCTGGACCAATTCCATCACCAGGGATTAAAGTAACAGTGTGAATCTGTTAGGCAGAACAAAAACATAACATTCATTAATAATATAATAATAACAAGTTCCATTAAAAATCTTGAATGAAATTTGTGTGTAGCTCTGGAGGAAAGATACATACTCCACGTGTGAACGTCCTAAGTTGTGGAGTCTCTGTCTTCAAAGCTCCAACCACCCGGGACACCTGACAATCAAAAAAGCCTCGGTTTTTACAGGTACAAATACTTTTCCCACCAATATAAGTGATTTTGCTTCAACAGCATAAATACAATGATAATCACTGAACTGTAGCATATCTGTGAATACAGGGAGAAACATTAAAAACAGAGCTGCAGTGTAATGTGAATTGAGCAAAGCTTACTAGAGTATTTAACATACTAGGAACTGAATGACCCAAGAATTGTGCACTTTTTTGTTTTATAGTGCAGAATACTTGATCTGGATAACTTTTCACCTGTAAGGCCGTATTTTTGAAGTACATAATTACTGTGATGCCAATCCTTGGTCATTCTAGTTGACCTATCTCAACATGAAAAGCAGTACAATGACATGTAACCACACAAGGGAATAATGTCTGGATCATGGACATAGATAGATGTATAGAATGACTTGGGAGTAATCTGCAGCATTCTGGAAGAGGAGACTCCACCCAGTTCACAGCAAGAGATGTCAAACAATGTTAAACAGCATGATTGCTGTGTTGAAAGGACAGTTTCCTGCTGTCTTGTTCAGTATAAATAACCATCAACATATTTGTAAGCCATGGCTGATGATTAACATCAACACTAAATAGAATAATGAAAATCATCAATAGGAAAGCGAGGCAAGAGGTCACCTTAAGCTCTGAAACACAACTGACAGTTTACAGTAGTTATTAGCTCACTTGCAGCTGTGCAATAGCAAAGGCGCTTTGACTTAGAAAAAAAGACAAAACTAAATGCCCATTCCAGATTTGAATAACATGACTACTGCAGGAGATTGGTAGCTAGCATTAGCTCTTGTCCAAACGCAGCAAGGATAGTCAACGCTTTAGTACGAATGGATAACTTACTTCCTGTGCCTTGATTTTATCCTTGCCATTGAGCGATAAACCCCACTGTTTTAGTAGATTAAGAATCTGTAGATGAGGGACATTTCATTGACATGTGTTTAACTTGAGTATTCAGGTATAAATTAACTTTACAACGATGTTATGGTCAAAGAAAATGTTGACCGCTAGCTAATTTACCCTTTTCTTTAGAGCTAGCTAGCTAGCTAAATAGCGGTCAAGGGTCACGTTGCTATAGTAACTACAAGCAAGTAGCGGTAGCGCCCTGCTAATCTCCAGTATGGCTGCACGACAGTCAAATAACCTCACATTAATTGATTAATTTAAACCATTTGTCATGCGTTTAGTGTATTATGTATGAACGATTGACATGTTGTCCCCCCCCCCGTACATACCGCTGACCTCCACGCCTTCCCAGCCATCTTCAACAAGCCAAGGTCGATGCAGCAGCACTTGTAAAGCTAACCCATGAGCTAACTACTGTACAAAGCGGATTTCCGGTTTTGTCAGTTTCAAAATAAAACCTAACTCAATCAATTCAAACAATAAATATCGTCACGATTAATAAGAATTTCAATTATTTTGTAGTAACAACATTAAGTTGTACAGTATTTTAATTCATTCTATAATGGTGACTAATTTCACCCCTGTTGCAACGTTAAAGACAGCATTCCCACTGCTCTCGATTACACATCCATGCTTTTACTCTGGCATCTTCCGGGATTAGCACTGAGATTTAGGGAAGCACATTTATGTGTAGCCTAGAGCAATAGCTCACTATAAAAACTAAATGCAAGCCTCTCAAATGAAAATTAAGGATATCTGTGATCATAAACGGACTAATCATATATTGTTAGTCCAAATGGACTTTGACTTGAAGAGTAAATTATGATTCCAAAATCTCATTTCCCTGGATTAGGAAAGTTCAATTAGTATTTCTGAACATGAACTACTCTCTCAAAGCCAGAAACCAGAAAAATAAGTCTCAAACTTGTGATGCCATAGGAGAGAAAGTCTGGAGCTGCTCCATAGACAATGAATGGGCACCTTATTTTGTCAACCCATTTTTTTTTTCCTTTCTTTTTTATACCCAAATGGATTTTATCTATTGTAGTATTCTCAGTCTTGAAACAGAAAATGTCTCAATATACTCAGAACATTTCCCTGGGTCCTTTCAGTGTCATCTAGATCAGGGGTGTCAAACTCATTTTAGTTCATGGGCCACTTACTGTCAGATTAGATTACAGGTGGGCCAGACCAGTAAAACCAAAATCAGTTTTGGATTTGAAAGAGAGTTGTTCATGTTTGCTAATCTTGGACTGTCGTGGACCACAAGAATAACATGTATGGATTTTGAAAATGGGCATAGTTAACCTTGTGCCACAGACAGTTTTGCAGGACCACCAGCAAGTGGCGCCAGAGGACTGCTTCTAAAGTTCACCACACATCATTAGGTAGCTTCATTGGATGTGCAGGCAGTGTGTCACATAGACTCATCAGTTGTCTCAAAGTAGACTTTATGGATGTAAGTAAAAATCAAGGATGTGAAGCACACCTTTACAAGCATTGTATTTTACACAAGTTGGTTGTACACTTTAAACTTTATGGTATAAAACAATTAGAAACAGCTGAAACAATCATTCAATCACTTGTTGCAAAAGTTCGACTTACAAAGAAAGCACACAGCATGGGACACATTAACTCCCACAATTATCCAGCAATGCAAAATGGAAAAAAGCTCTTCTAGAAATCTTGAAGCAGCATAGCTCTCGGCTTAAATGCAGGCTACATGGTACAAAATGCACACTGTGCAAGTAAAGACATCTTTGAGCCAAACTGAGGGGTGTCAGTATGGATAAAGGTTTTCAAACCACTTACATGTATCATCTGATACTCAATGCATAGGATGAAATAGAATTCCAACAAATGCCTCACACTGCAACACAAAGCACGTGTGACTGGCAATGATACAAGCATTTGGATGCAGCTTAGTAATTCGAGAAACCTACAGTACATTAGCCACGGTATGTCATACAACAAAAACAAATGAGTTCACAACAGCCCAACTTAGATAGCATACTGCTTTGGCTGCTTCTTCAGGCTCATAGATCTTTCAGTTTGTGAAATTATGTGAGTGGCTCTGTTGTTGAGGAGTCTGCATTCATGAAGAACGTCTGTAGAAAAACAAATAGAGGGCTATTATTAGACAGGATACCACACTGTAAACACAATATAGTTGAGTTGAAAACTGGTTGTTGTGGATCAAATGTAGGGCTTCTTCAACTTCTTTGACTTTCAGGGGGCAGAATAATCACTCTGTCAACCAAGATTCTTCAAATCAAGCAGTCTTTTTTATTTCGTCACTGTATTCTGGGGATGTTTCAGTCCCCAGATGTGGCTGCAGAGTAAGCACACCTCATTTTCACAGTACAGGCAGCTGCGAACCCTGACCCAGGGATAGTCTGAGTGAGAAAGAGGTAGGAGGAACATACTGGAGGAACATACTCAGGCTCTGAGATACATCATCTTCTGCCTTCTGCTTTAAAGTGGTGAATTTACAGCTCACAGCAACTTATTATAATTCAGTCTCCGGTTTTTGTTTGATATCCAGTAACAGCAAAAAATGTTGCACATTTCCGGTCCTGTTGTTAGCAGTAAGGACTAACTTGGAGGGCTAACTTGGCTTATTAAGTATAAAATGTGGATGTAGCGGTCACCTAAACATCCATCAAATATTGCTCAAACTCTATATGGAGAAAAAAGGAAGGAATAGTCAAAAATTGTATTGAACAGCCTAATCTGATTTCAATGACATAATTCAGAGTTAGATAAAACGCTAATCAAAGGCAACACTTTCCTTTTTGAAGAAGACCACTTACCGTTAAACTGTTTGTAGGCTTCTTCAATAATGGCGTTGTTTGATCTCTTTATCTCCCAGTAATTATCCTCCACCCACGGTTTGCAATCAGGATGTTCAACAAGCTGTCCATTCTTGTATAAACCAGCTGGACATTTACAGAAAGAAAAACAGTTCAGTTATATTTTACTAGAGCAAGAGAACTTTTAGTCAAGCAAGGACAAAGGTATGTCTGTCATCCCTAGGAACACTTTGTATGTAGGATAAATACTTAAATACTGTTCAACGATTGAACCTAACATGATGAATGGAGTGTGATAACAAGTTTCCAGCCAGAATACAGCAACACACTAATTAACAAATGTACCTTTGATGGTTTCATCAATGTCTTTGCATAACTGGTACAACTCACTCCCACGTCCGACCACTCTTTCTCCTACAATTTAAAAACAGAATAAAACATGTTATAAAGTCTAAGAGTTAATGTTGTGCAAAAGAATAAATGAAGAAAAAATCTTACCATCCAGCACCTTGATGTTAGGAAACATCTCAAGAACTATGTTTCTATAAGCTGGGTTCCTGCACACTGATGAGGAGAAAGTAACTGTTAGTTCATGTATCAAGATTTTCCATCCACTAGATTGTTTTCAGATAAAGTCTTTATGAATTACCTGGGTTAGTGTAATTGTAGGTGTTGTCTTTAAGACGTATATTTTCTAGCTTTCTCAAAGACTGAAGGCTGTGTAGGTTCTCAGTGCTGTTAGAAAACAAAACCGATGAGAGATGACATTTAGACGACCAATTCAAATTATTTTTATGTCTTATATAAATTCTTATATACATTCTTATACATCTAGGGTAAGCATTTGATCCATGGTTGTATAGCAATACCTGGATATGTTATTACCAGCCAAGTTTAAGTGCTGTAAACTTTCACAACTGCGCAGAGGATCTGAAAGTACAAAAGCAGTAACATTCAAGTAAACAATCTAGTTCTATTCATGACAGAGATGTCCTTGACGTGTGAATATATAGCATGGAAATAAATACAATGTTAGTCATGAAATCTTACCTAAATTGGAAATCCTGTTGGATGACAAACAGAGTACGGAGAGGAGCCGAAGAGATGCTAGAGGAGCTAAATTTGAGATGTTATTTCCAGACAGGTCCAGTTTCTCTAAATTCATACACTCCCCGATGCAGCCGAGATCATGTATTCCTGTAAGACAAACCATTATGAACAATAATGCATTTTTGAAGGCGTAAATAGTAAATATGATGTAATAATTAAATCTTACCAAGTCCCCTTAATTTGAGAAACAGTATTGACTCCAAATCAAACTCCCCTGTACGCGACTTGAGCAGCACAGCAGTTATCTTCTCACAGTCTGCATCTGAAAGAATCAAGAGCGATAATAAGACTGCGGCATAACAAATCACATTCACATTTCTGTCCTTATATATACAACACAATCACTGTGTCCTTATTTGTGAGTCAGCGCTGCAAAAGTACAACGCTGGGAGCATTGTGTCTGCTCTGTTTACGATGTAACAATCAGACAACCCATGCAATCATTCTCGAAATAGTAAATACCAATTCATGCAAGGCATGAATTTCATATCTGGCAGCACACCGAGTTTCTCCCTCTGCCAGCTCCAGAGGAAAAGGCTCACAAACAGGCAGATGGGCTGTTTGTCTGTGATGGTATTCGCTTGCCAGTTGCATGCATGAATAACAACTGAGGAAGTTATATTTGTGTGTAATTTCCTCAGGCAGAATCAGTCCTCAACTCCAACTACACATGAATACTCTGTCATGAGCCTGCATAAATGAAACACTGATTCCCTGACAAGAAAAGGACTCATCAGGTTAACCAGAAACAAGGATGATGCAGTCTACTTTTTCCATTTTATCATGTTGTATTTTTATTTATGTACTTTATATGTAAATTATGTAAGGACTGGCAGACAGGCTACTACAACACCACTACAAAATGGGTCAGACAGTCGTGGGTGGGATAAGCAGGGCCACCAAACACATCTAACACACATGAAGACACTCGCAGGATTAAAAAGTGATGCTGTTTAGCTTAGCTTGACACATAAATGTTAGCTAATGTTAGTAGCTACCTGTTTCGTAGCAGTGATTCAGCGGCTGTGATTTCATGAGGATGATTCAGCCGGATAAAAGTGGGTGGTTTATTTAATGAAATGGTAATTTGTTTTAATTTTTTCCCCCCTCTGATGATGACACACGTAAAATGTTGTGTAACGGACGATACGTTGTTAGCTACATCTTAGCCGCAGCTAGCTAGCACGAGCAGCAGCTAGCGGCTAACATAGCGACGTAGCAACAAGCTATCCATCACAACTTACCTTGGTCTTTATCTCGCTTTGAGTCCATCGCGGGGAAACTTTGCTACCTCTAAAGCTACCTATCGCAACAAAAGGCGCAGGGTGGTTTTAAGCAAAGCAGCGGAAAGACAAGGCAGTGGTTGTTTTGGGGGAATGTGAAATTGGCATCTGTCCTGGGGTGCAGTCAGGACACGCTCACTGTACTGCTGTGCTGCAATAGCAGGCAGGTGGATGAGACGGACCTCAGTCTCTGCAGTCCAGCACGGCAGAAGCGAAGGCGGAGACGATGCACCGTGTTGGAGGGAAGATGGGGACGTGGCTGGAAATATTGCTGCAGTATTTGTTAGATGTTCCCGTGCAACAGGTTCTAGCTCAATTAAAAGTTTTGTTCTTGTTACAGCACTGAAAAAAATAGTCCCCAGTGGGGTTTTAGCAGTGGGTCTGTGGTAGTATGAGGTAAATCTGCATTAAAGTATAATTTAGTAGTAATTCAAAAGGATAAATAAATAAGTATGCAAAGTCTAATCCAATCAGCCTTGAAATAACCCATTATAATATGCAATTCTAATGAATGCTAATTTGTTCGTAGGAAAAAAAGAAAGTAGACAAATATGGAAATGGATTAATATAAAGTGTCAGGGTGCCAGAATCACATTTATTTTTTATTTTATTTTTTTGGGGTTGTGTTAGTACCTATATACATCACCAGTGAAGTTTATTCAGGCTTCTCAAGTACTATAGGCCTACAACAGCATATTATAACAGCCACTTTAAGTAAATATTGTCATCTGATGCTACTTTACTAAATGAGATAAGATAAGATACAACTTTATTAATCCCACACCGGGAAAATTATAATAATAAAATGATAATAAAATGTATTTGATGTAGCACCTTTCACAGAAATGAAGTTCACAAAGTGCTTCACTAAATACAATCAAGCAATCAAACAATGAAACATCCAATCAATAAAAACAAAGGCAATATAACAAATAAAACAAGGCAACAAAAAGAAAGTAGAACCTGGAGCAAATACAGGCTGCTGAGGCCCCAAACTGACATACCAGGGACAAGCACAAGACCATTGTATTCAGGTTCACTGATTCACTGATGTATGCAGGTGCCTGACCATGTTGGACTTTATACGTAAGAACAAGTATCTTAAAGTGAATACTGAACCTGATGGGAGCCCAGTGTAAAGAACTAAAATGGGAGTAGTGTGGGTTGACCAGCTGGACCTGGTTAACAGCCTAGCAGCAGCGCTCTGGAATATCTGAAGATGATTCAGAGAAGATTTGTTTAGACAAGTAAAAAGAGAATTACAGTAGTCCAGTCTGGATGACACAAAAGCATGGATAAACATCTCTAGCTCAGGTGTAGACATTCATGTTACAGCAGCTCAGGAGTCAGAAGCAATAGAGAAAAGGGACTGACTGCAAAATAAGAATAAAAATGTGACAAAAATACAAGTTAGATCAAATAAAAATAAAGTAATATAAAATCTATATACACTATTTACACCTTTCACCTATAGACCTATAGATACTATATTTCCATGATTGATAGTTGCAAAGGATAGTTGTAAAACACACGTGCTGTGTAGGATTTTAACTGTAAAATATAAAATATACACTCACCAGTCATATTAGTTACACCTTGCTAGTAGCAGGTTGGACCCCTTTTGCCTTCAGAGCTGCCTTAATTCTTGATGGCATAGATTCAACAAGGTGCTGGAAACATTCCTCAAGATTTTGGTCCATATAGACATGATACCATCACACAGTTGCTGCAGATTTGTCTGCTGCATATTTGAGATGATCTGAGTTTTGTGACATGGTGCGTTATCCTGCTGGAAGTAGCCATCAGAAGATGGGTACACTGTGGTCATAAAGGGATGGACACGGTCAGCAACAATACTCAGGTAGGCTGTGGTGTTTAAACCATGCTCAGTTGGTACTAAGGGCCCAAGGTGTGCCAAGAAAATATCCCCACACCATTACACCACTACCACCAGCCTGAACTGTTGATACAAGGCAGGATGGATTCATGCTTTCATGTTGTTGACACCAAATTCTGACCCTACCATCTGAATGTGGCATCAGAAATCAAGACTCATCAGACCAGGCAACCTTTTTCCAATCTTCTATTGTCCAGTTTTGGTGAGCCTGTGTGAATTGTAGCCTCAGTTTCCTGTTGTTAGCTGACAGGAGTGGTAACTGGTGTGGTCTTCTACTGCTGTAGCCCATCTGCTTCAAGGTTGGACGTGTTGTTGGTTCAGAGATGGTCTTCTGCAGACCTTGGTTGTAACGAGTGGTTATTTGAGTTGCTATTGCCTTTCTATCATCTCGAACCTCTGGCATCAACAAGGCATTTTCACCCAGAGAACTGCTGCTCACTGGATAATTTCTCTTTTTGGGACCATCCTCTGTAAACCCTAGAGATGGTTGTGTGTGAAAATCCCAGTAGATCAGCAGTTTCTGACAGACCAGCCCGTCTGGCACCAACAACCATGCCACGTTCAAAGTCATTTAAATCACCTTTCTTCTCCACTATGATGCTCGGTTTGAACTTCAGCAGGTCGTCTTGACCATGTCTACATGTCTGAATGCATTGATTTGCTGCCACGTGATTAGTTGATTAGCTATTTGCGTTAACAAGCATTTTTTATACACTGACGAGTGTTATAAACATTATTGGACAGTAAGTGGTAAAATATTGCACAGGGATGTTGCACAGTATAAACATAAAGGATATTAATAAGAATATGTACATAGGCAGGCTAATAAACATAGTATAATGACATTGTGTAATATATAATGACACATGAAAGAGTATTTACACAGTAGAAGTATGCATGTGTGTATTTTTTATAAAGCCAAACATACCATATAATATGCATATATTACATACATATCTTCTCCACAGACATATGATCCGTTTATTAAATATAAAGCTTTACGGATTAAATGACCAAAACATACATAAGTTTATAATCTTAGCTTCATCTTAAGCATTTAAATAGCCTACTGATTAAAATGATGAAGTTATTGACATGTAAAAAGCTATAGCATTAAATTAGCTGATGTCATGGTATATATCCGTCTGGTGAACATTAAGCAGCACCTTCATTATCAGCTCCACAGTTATTTATGCAGGCATTTATTTATTTATTTATTTACCTGAGGTCCTATTGGTCTGCCCTGACTCCGGTTGGACAGCAGCTGGGTGCTTAAAGAGCAGCAGATCAGTTTGCAGCTCAACCTCCACCGGATCCGACACAATAACTGGACACTGCTCTACCACTTTTCATTTTTACACATGTTTTTTGAATGCAGCATCTGCGTTTTACGGCCATGGCGGACATCTCCTGTGAGGACAACAACAACAACAACAACAGCAGCAGCAACCTGTTTTATTAAGAGTTTGCAATGTCGCTGATCCATCCTGTGCGGAGACTTTGTCTTTGCCGCGGACCTTTATAAATGCCTCTCATTGAGAAAAGGCTTCGGACGTTCAGTGTTGTGAATATGGACAAGCAACAAATGACTTGATTAAGATGGGTAACAAGCAAACTATATTTACCGACGAGCAACTTGATGCCTACCAGGTGAGCTTGCATGCAGCATGGTGGAGGAGATACAACCCCAGGTGCAGGAAAATCATCTTTAATTATAAAATAAATAGGAATATAGAGAACTGTGCATACAGCATTGGTTTACAGGCTTAAGTGCATGCAGTGTGTCACTATTCCTTATTGGCCTATTGTACATCATTATTGATCTTTTTTTCCTGATAATGACCATCTCACTCCTGACAGTGGATCCACATGAGTCCTGGATTTAATGGAAAAAGCAACATGTGAAACAGAGATAAAAGCAAATGGATGTTCAGTATTGATCAGTAATATTAGGTGGCTCTGATCCCTATCAGTTCATAATAGGTAGGCCTAATAATGAATTTCCATCTAAGCGTGGCCAGTTATGACTCTTCTGTTTAAATATTTACACAGTCTTGATCCATGTTAGGTGAGAATAGCCTATTAGGAGGTTTTGATTTCATCGCAAACTGGAGCATCTTGTGTTTGCTGTGTCACCAAATGAGAAGATCTGGCCTTTGTCCCCTGTAACAATAATCCAGGTTTTCCTGGGAAGAAAGACATCTCCATGTGCACAGGTTTATCATGTGATTAGGTGTGGACTTAATAATTGATGCCAAGCCGACGTGACATGCTGTGAAACTCTACTCTTAGGAGACAGTTTGGTTCTCAAGAGCCTCTCTGGTTACTCCTGCTGCTCTTTGGAAACCCTTACACTGTTGCTTTCTGGTTGCTGTAGTTTCTGTCATCCGATTTGGATGTTGTCAGCCCATTAAATGGCTGTTATCTGTTGTTTTTAGCCTCACAGATACACTTGTTTTTTATCTTATTTTTCTAGGATTTAATGTTTAAGATGTAGCACCCAACACTTCTTATCTACCCAAATATCTTCATCAGTAGGCCTGCATTGACTTAAGTGGATATATCGGTCTGTGGAGGTCAGCTGGCTGCGCTCTGCTTCTCACACTCAGACACAGTGGATACAAGAGAAACTGTAAACTGAGGTGCCTCCTGTAGGGCTGTTAGATAATGTGCGTGCCAACATGTGCATGTCAGACAACAGCAGATTGTGTTCCCCTTTGCCACATCGTCCCTATTGCAAAGTGGCAGGTGACAACACTCACACGCGTCATCATTTTACCAGACACCTCGACTAGTGTTTATGGGACCTCAGAGGAACTGTCATGAGTGTGACTCACAGATGAGTCAGAGTGTTTTAGAGAGAATGTAAATATTTTTTGGTACCATAAACACTACAGTCTTTTATCAGACTAAAGCAGTTTTGACATGCTGTTTTTCTCTCATTGCAGGACTGTACGTTTTTCACACGCAAAGAAATTCTGCGGTAAGAGTTTTACAAACCTCCTAATTCTGATGCATTACTCAGATGCACTGTCAGTCAATTGTAAACCACCTGCTCTTACCATATGATTATACACACAATAATGTAACCAAATGTGTTTTCCCTGCACTGTTGTTAAGATGCACTTTCAGTGGACACTGGGCATGGCATATAAAACTGACTGTGAAATCACAAACCATGCCTTGTTTGCAAGTGGCTGTATAAAAACGATTACCACTTGAGACTGCATTTGGCTCCTGCTGGAGGAATCCAAAGTGTCTCACACGCTGAGCCATGCCAAGTCCTCAGAGCAGACGGCTTCCCTCTTGGGGAAACTTAATGCTGAAGTTGATTTCATT